TGTGCACTATCATCTTAGACATATAGACATTTTAATGTTTTGTTCTGATTCAAAGATATGTTTGCCCATTCAGTGTGAGATTAATTGAAGTTACCTATTTTCTCTTTGAGGCTATTTTTCAAGAAGGATTACTTGTTGTTTGACACATATTTGTAACTCGTCACAATGTGATGACGTCTTCATGCAGTGATCCTCTGGCCCAAGGGTGGGCAAATAAACAGGTGGTGGAATTTGTTTCCAGCTACAAGTCTGGGTGTCCACAATGCCAAGAAAAACTAAAACCAGAAGTGATGTGATGTCATTCCTGTTTTCCTTTTTGGATTATTTGCAGCCATTTGGGGAACGTTTTTTTTTCAAGAGGTTGGGAATAGACTGGTGGGATCAAAACCACCACTGAAAATGGTTCCATGATATTACAATGGCAGGAAGAGTTCTGAAATATTGGGGATGCCCTGGGGTGTTCTAGGGGCTGCAGAAAGAAGACTGAGGCACTTAGGGGCTGTAAGCAACTCTTTACCCATTCCACCCCTAGTGATAGATCTATTCACAAACCTATGTAGATTCCCAAATGTTGCTAGAGTGTGCATAATGAAAGCATATCCATAGAATACACAACACCCAATTATTCCACATAGATAAGAGTTTGGTAAGGTGGATGAAGAGCTTTTCGTTTGCTTGTTTTAAACTTCTGCTTCCATTTCAAAGCATTACATCTTTTCCAAGGGTTGCCAGCTCATGCCCCAGAAACCTTGTCTCTAGCTTTAACAGTAAAGGGTGATAAGAGAATGGATCTTACTCATACTTTGAGAAGATACACTGAAGTCTGGATGTCATGATTAACTGATTCCAGAATGTCTCAGGGCCCTTCCACACAGACATATAACCCAGAATATCAAGGCAGATAATCCACAATATCCGCTTTGAACTGGATTATCTGAGTCCACACTGCCACATAATCCAGTTCAATGTGGATTTTGTACTGCTGTGTGGAAGGGGCCTCAGTCTAAAATGAACCTAGTAGAAAAGCCTGGAAGGAGCAATTACTGAACAAAATAATGCACAAAAGAAAAAAATGAATATTAATACAAGAATGTGATCAACACTGGATATACGTTTTGGATATTTTAATACACTGATAAAGACCAAAGGCTAGTGGAACACTAACAACTCACTAAAATTGACGTTTAAGTTGGAAAATAACTGGAAGAATTAATATTTTAATAAAATAAATTAAAATAATGGCTCCAATAACCTTCTCTGGAAAGGACATTTGCCCAGGTTTTTCCTACTTAATCACTGCCTTGATCCCTGAAACTAGTCCTCCCCAATGAGATATTCTCAAGATATGTTAGACAACAACTGCCATCATTTTCAGTCACCATCATGCCCACCACAACTGGAAAGTCACAGGTCTCAGGAAGGTCAACTTGAGGTCTTCCAGTATTTCTGTTCTTTTGACTGGAGCTTCCCCGTTCCAAGAAGAGCTGTTGTATCATTGCTTCAAGCCTTTAGATCCTGCATTTTTCATGAAGTATTTGACCTAACACCATACATCAACTCAAATAAAAGCTAATCATGTATAGACCTCATATAACTCTTATGTTTCTCTTCCTTCTCCTAAAGCAGGAAAACTATGGTCTGAATCCAATTGCTTCCCCCCAAAGGGCCTATTTATTTAATCTCTAATTAGCAATTTAGTACAAGTTGAGCATCCTTTATCTGGAATTCCAAAAAATTAAAATACTACAAAATGCAGGAATGTTCACCCAGGTGGGTAAGATAGTGACACCTTTACTTTCTGATGGTTTGAATACACAAAATTCATTTCATGCACAAAATTATTAAAAATATTGCATAAAATTACCTTCAGGATGTGTGGATGAGATGTATTTAGACTTGTGTTCCATTTCCAAGATATCTCATTAAGTATGTATATATATGCAAATAGAGATAGTCCATTTTTAAAAAATCTAAAATCCTTATTTACTATATTTTGACCCCATCCCAATGGGGTGAGGGGGGAAGAAGGGGGGGTAGAAATGCATGAAATAAACAAACAAGCAAACTCAGAGTGGCTTTCAAAATGGCAACTATTCAATGCCATACAAACAAACATATAAATACAATAAGCATATACCTTAAAAACTGTAACAATTAAAAAAATCATAACATCAATACATTAAAAATCAATTATTAAAACCACACAGATCCAAAGTCATCGTCCAGGAGCCATTCCAATCATGTTGCACTTATGGCACTGAATTACTCTTCAGAAGCTTGATCCCACAACCAAGTTTTTAATTTCTTTCTAAAGGTCAGGAGTAAGAGAGCCAATCTAATCTCGCTGGGGAGGGAGTTCCACAGTTGAGGGGACACCACTGAGAAGGTCCTGTCTCTCTTCCCCACCAAACACACCTGAGAAGGAGGTGGAGCTAAGAGCAGGGCCTCCCCAGAAGATCTTAACCTCCAAGGTGATCCATAGAGGGAGATACGTTTGGACAGGTAAGTTGAGCCAGAACCATTTAGTCTTTTAGAATAGATCTAAAAATTAGCTCTAAGCCTATGGATTGTTTTTCACTCTATCTATACTCTTGAAAGCCACCATGTATGCAGTGGTTTGAGCATCAGGTTATGACTTGAGAGACCAGATTTCCTGTTCAACCATGGGAACTCACTGGTGAAATTGAGTGAGTCATATACTTTCATCCCCAACACCCCACCCCCCCCCCAATCGCATGATGAGGTCACTATAAATTGGAAATGACTTGAAGGGACACAACAACAGCACGTTTGTGGTGCCACCATGTAAATCATCATCACTTTTACGCAGAAGCAAATCCAATGAATTCCATGTGTGTCTGCCTTAGTAGCTGTGCTTTGGATTCATGAAGGTAAATTAATATTATCAATTTATATTAAAATATTTTTAAAAAAAATATAAATATTCAGGGATGCAATGTTTCTATATCATTTTTGCTACTGAGGATACAATCACCACCAGCTACAATTTTATGTAAGAATAAATACCATAAATTACACTGATGCTTATTTCTAAGCAGATGGGCTTTGGATTTACAAGGTTAAATTAGTACTATCAATTCAAGCAATTTGGGGGAAATGAATTTTCAGAGATAGACAGTATGGTATTTTCATATCAAATAAAAATATAAAACATTGTTGCAACTACAATCCACTCAGGTATGAAAACAGGAACAGAAGATGTGGGAACAAACAAGGACTTAATGGAGTTCTTCCCTTCTCCCCCACTGATCCACACAACATGAATAATGTGCATGCCAAAGCACCAAGATGCTCGACATCTGGTGAGCAAGAAATTCCTAATCTGTGCAATGACCAATATGCTGTAATGTGGTGTGCATTGAGGAATTGGCAGAGAGGGAAAGGGGCTTAGTTGGCTATTTTACCAGTTACCCTTTACGGACACAGCTGCGGCCATAAAGGGCTGAATCCACCTATGCATTCTGTCTTGAAAGCAAATTGAACTCAATTGGATTCAAGAGTGAAATCATGCACAGCCAAAGAATCCAAAAGGGGGAAAAATAATGAAATGAAAACAATCTATGAACATTCTATTTGTGTATGTATTCCCTGGATCAAACTGTTCCTTTAAATCACTTGCAAACAAGCAGAACTCTATTTCCTTGCACATAAAAAAGAATTAAATTGGATAAGAATGTGTCTGACAAAGTAAATGGCTTCATAATTTGTTTTTGGTGGAAACTGCATCTACACAGGAGAATGTAAACTTCAGACCGACTATTAGCAGGACTAAGCCTTGTATGACTTGCAAAATCCTTGAGAGGTCTCTCCATGACCTTCAAATCTAGCCAAATGAAGACCAGACACATTAAATTCTGCACTGCAATCTAAAGAGGAGAGGAAACAAACCCTCCATAAGGATACTTAAGTTGCAATGTCCTACAACCGATTTTCTATTTGTACCTTTTCTTGACCATTATTTCTACCATCTTCATTAATCTAATAGAACATCCACTAAAAGACCGGGCGCCATCCAAGGCAGACCACTCTAATGATCAGCACTAAATTTCTTACTGCAGCATTTTCTGCAAATGATACCAGCCATCAAAGCACTGTTACATGCCTCTGTAGTAAAAGTGCTAACCAGCAAAATCACTGAAATGGGTTCCCCTTCACCCCAATAAACAATCCACAAGGACAATGAATTGATTAACAGCTATACAGAAGAGATCCTTCTTAGTCTTCTGCAGAATTGCAGTTCCTGGTCTAATCATGTCTGTTAAACTCCTTTAAAGCAAGTTTATATTTGGAATACACATATGTTGGCTTTGCCCCACTGACCCCACCAATATAGGGTTGAATTCCCATATGTCTGGTTTCAATATATTTGCTCTCCATTATTCTTGAAGACATTTTACTAAAGTACTTTTAAAATAATATTGCAGGAGTAAAGAACAGTGGTGGGGAAAACACTGCGGCTCTGCGTGTAGAAAAGAATGCTGGATGCATAAGAAACAGTTATAGGCTTGAGGCAATTCTCAATGCTGCCCCCTATTGGTACTGGATGGATGGATATTAGATAGATCGAGAGATAGATAGATAGATAGATAGATAGATAGATAGATAGATAGATAGATAGATGATAGATGATAGTTCTCCCACTAAGCATCCATTCAAAAACCATATATTTTACATACTATATCAAAAGAGGTCTAATTAAGAAACACAGAAACGTTGAAAATGTTTCAGCCATTCAACTCAACAGTCTACCCAAGGCTTCATGAAACCAGTTAGCTACTAAGGTTACCAATGTCAAACTGGAATAGTTTGCAATGAAAATACAAGTCTATAAGGGGGGAGGATACAAATCCATGCTTTCACTAAGCATCTACATCATAAGGTAAGCTATATCAATGGCCATCCCATTATAAATTTCACAGTGATGGTTTAAAAACCATTCTTCTCTTTAAACAGAAGTAAAATAATTTTTTTCCTCTTACCTCCTAAAGCCTGCTTCATTACAAATTCCATGATGATGGCTTTAGATTCCTTTTCACCAGATCAGTTTTCACATGCAAGTCCAATGGTGACAAGTTCTTGAGTTGCAGCCTGCAGCTGAATGCACAAAGTGAGAGATTAGCGTTAGGACAGCCGTATTTAGTATTCTGGCCCAAGCTCCATATCTTACTGCATTAGATCTCCTTTGCCTTTTGGAAATCAACTGGGCTCAAGATCTCCACACAAACACACACAAAATGTACTTGTGTATGTTTTAGACAGCTAGAAGGCACAATACACACATACATATATATACACATATACCCACACACACAATACAATGACCTTTAAAGAGTAAGAAGAAGGGGGAATCTATTTCTCATGAAGTGTCATGGGATATTACTGAATTAATAGGAAACTGTTCTTGGAATTAAATACTACTAATTCCAAATCTTCTTGTTAGAATACCAAGCTCAGCAAAGCTCTGAAAAATAAATAAATAAATAGATAAATAGCCAGCTTGGATTTTCATATGCTGTGTAAACAGATTTGCCCATGGAGATAGTTAATTAAACTTTCCCAACACCTGTTTATTTCATTTTGGCCTCTCTAGTTGAACCCAGAACATGTTCAGTTTACGTGGCATTTTACAACTGGTAAAGAGTTAAACATTTGCAACTTCAGCAGTCCTTTCGAAAAGAAATGTGTGTGTGGGATGGGGAGCTCTGGCTAATAAGAGCAGAAGCAGCTCTTGGGGGGCATTTGAAGGTTGAAGCCCTTGTGCTTCTTGAAATCTCAGCAGCAGCCTTCTCTGCCAGACACTCTTAATGGACAACCTCATGTCTGCATCATTGACCAGGAGAGCCACTCCAGTCAAATTGAGTTAAATATCAAACACCACATTATGACAGAGAGTGGGGAGGGCAAGGAGGGAGGCAGGGAGGAAGAGATTTAATGCAAATTGGCTAGTGGAGTGACATACTGGAAAAAAATCCTAATGCTAGACAAATATATTCTTCCTTTTGGGGAGAAGAAGCTGAGATCAATTCTGTTAAAAGTCACTGGGAACTTTACTTGAGCAACGAGGCACTACCATTCTCACTACTGACACGGGAGGAAACTGCGGCACAGATTTTCAAGTTAGCGCAACAACCCCAAGGTGGTTAACTGGACAGCAAAACCTGTCCATTTCCTCTACACAAACATGCAACATTGTACATATTACTCAGCATTTCTGATGCAGTTTTTGGACAGAACTGGAACTCCAGAAGTGAATACAAGTGATTACAGTTTGGTTGTGCTGCCGCCAAGCAAGGACAGCACATGCACTTTTCATGACTCGGCAGAGCCAACAAAATAAAATTTCGAGTTTTTAGATAAAGGTAAAGGTAAAGGTAAAGGTTTTTCCCCGACATTAAGTCCAGTCATGTCCAACTCTGGGGAAGTGTTACATATGTGACACTTGGCTTTTAAGTCCTGATTCTTCACCTCAAAAATGGCCCATTCCCCCAGGTCTTCTCTTTTAAGATACAGTACAAGAAGCAATTTTCACATTGTTTGTCATCTCCATTTCTAAGCCAGTGTTGTCCGTAGACTCCTCCAGGGACATGTGGCCAGCATGACCCACCGGAGTGGTACCTATTGATCTACTCACATTTTTGAACTGCTAGGTTGGCAGAAGCTGGGGTGACAGCGGAAGCTCACACTGCTCCCCGGATTCGAACCTGCGACCTTTTGGTCAACAAGCTTAGCAGTTTAGTGATTTAATCCACTGAGCCATAGGGGGTTCCTAAGCTTTGCTTTACTAACCCCAAAAAGGAGAGGGGGAGCATTCATTAAGTTAGATAGAGAAAAGAGAAAATGAAATCTTGAGAGGATTTGCTACAATGCTGCATCAACTGGCCCTTTCTCCCTTTCCAAACTTCTGTCCTTGAAAGAAACACAGAGCTCTCGCACTCCTGTGACAAGTTGATGCATCGCTGCCTGCACCAAAAAGAGCCAGAGACATGGTTCAAATGCCAATGAGGATCCACTGAGACTATGCAGAGGGGAGGGGGGGAGAGAGGGGGCTTCCCCAGGCATTGGATTTTGCACCATTGCAGGGAGGTACTCCAAAGCTTTTGCAGTCTCCGCTTCCTGCCAATCCTTCCAGATTTTGGGAGGGGACATTGGGTACTTGACCCATACATCCAAACTCAGAGAGGGGTGGGGGGTTGTTTCCCCCTTCCTTTAGGCTATTACCCGCACTCACATCCTTCTCCTGCCTTGCTCTCAGCGGGGAGCAATGGGAGCGTTCAGCACCAAGGACACTTCCCTGAGCCAAGCGAATGCGGGAGCTTTCAGCACCTTGGAGAGCTCCCAGCCCAGCAATAAGAATAGGCGGCAAAGACCGAGAGTGATACCTCGTTGGGCGCCTTGGATCTCTCTCTCTCTCCGCGTTTCTTCCTTTAGTGGGTCCTCTTTCTCCCGCGATCGGCCGGGTCCATGCGTGACAAGGCGTGGGCTTTCCGGGCAGGGCCAGGAAGAAGTTCTCTCTTCCCTTTCTTTTCCGGACAGGACCAGGATGAGGCAGCAAAGCGAGGGAGGAAGCAAGGACGCGCGGCGGCAGCGCCTTGACTTTCACGGCTCCCTCTTTTTATCACGGGATTTCCGGGACCATCCCACTGACACGCTTCCCGCCTTACACGCGACGCGGGCGCCTTCCTCCTCCTTCTCTTCCTCCTCCTCCTAGCGGTGCTGCTGGGTCGGCATTTCTCGCCCTGCTCTTTCCTCCTCCTCCTCCTCCTCCTCCTCTTCTTCCCCTCCCTTAACCGCGACTTCTGCCGCAGGAAGTTATTGGGCGCACACCTGCAATTGTGGGGCGGATGGAGGGATCCCCAAAGGGGGGAGGAGGGCTCTAACGCAATGGGATCCCCAACACAGAGACGTCTGGGCGCCTTAACAAAAACACTAACCTGCCCCTAAGCAGTTGGAACAGGTTGAAAAATGCGGTAAGAGAGATGTATCTGTATGTTTTGCTGTAACTGGAGGGTTGGGCTCGGGCTCTAGAGACACCGGTTCGAGTCCCCACTAGGGCAAGGGAAACCCTCTGAGTGACCTTGAGCCAGTCACACACTCCCAGCCCCGGGAAACCCCGCGAGAGGGACTCCATCCCTTGGAAACAGCTGGGAGGCGCCCCACAACAACAACAACACTCGTGGAGCCTTTCCGATGGGGGAAGAGAACGTTATGTGTTGCTGTGAGTTTTCCGGGCTGTATTCCATATTCCAGAAGCATTCCCTCCTGCCTGACGTTTCGTCCACATCTCTGGCAGGCATCCTCAGAGGTCGAGGGGTCTGTTGGAAACTAGGCAAGTGAGGCTTGTGTATCTGTGGAATATCCAGGGTGGGGGAAAGAACTCTTGTATCTTTGAGGCAAGTGTGAATGTTACAATTGGCCACCTTGATTAGCATTGAATGGCCTTGCAGCTTCAAAACCTGGTTGCCTCCTGTCTGAGGGGAATCCTTTGTTGGGAGGCGTTAGCTGGCCCCAGGCATGTAGCGGGGGGGGGGGGGGGCTTGAGGGGCTTCAGCCCCCCCCCCCCGAAATTCTCACAGTGGTTCGCGAAAAGGCCTTACTGGTGCATTATTTAAACTGTTATGTTTATTCATATCATGATCTGATCACCATACTCAATATATCCCATATGCATGGGGGTATTGGGGTAACGATACAAAAGGTTTGCTTGGGTAGACCCTCTTTCACTCAGACTCAGCCCCCCCCCCCCCCCCCCCCCTGAAAAAAAACTCAGCCCCCCCTCCCCCAATCGAAATCCTGTCTATGGGCCTGGCTGGCCCTGATTGTTTCCTGTCTGGAATTCCTCTATTTTCTGAGTGTTGTTCTTTATTTACTGTCCTGATTTTAGAGGGTTTTTTAATACTGGTAGCCAGATTTTGTTCATTTTCATGGTTTCCTCATTTCTGTTGAAATTGTCCATATGCTTGTGGATTTCAATGGCTTCTCTGTGTAGTCTGACATGGTGGTGGTTTGGGTGGTTCAGTATCTCTGTGTCCTCAGATAATATGCTGTGTCTAGGCTGGTTCATCAAGTGCTCTACTATGGCTGACTTTCTGGTTGAGTTAGTCTGCAGTGCCTTTCATGTTCCTTGGTTCATGTTAGGGCAATGCTGCATTTAGTGGTCCCTATGTTGACTTGTCCATAACTGCATGGTATCGAGTAGACTCCTGCAGAGGTGAGATGATCCCTCTTTTCCTTTGTTGAACGTAATATGTGTTGGATTTTCTTGGTTGATCTGTAGATTGTTTGGAGGTTGTGTTTCTTCATCAACTTCCCTACGCAGTCAGTGGTTCTCTTGATGTCATAGAATCATAGAGTTGGAAGAGACCTCGTGGGCCATCTAGTCCATCCCCCTGCCAAGAAGCAGCAAAATTGCATTCAAAGCACCCCCAACAGATGGCCATCCAGCCTCTGTTTAAAAGCTTCCAAAGACGGAGCCTCTACCACACATAGGGGGAGAGAGTTCCACTGCTGAACAGCTCTTACAGTCAGGAAGTTCTTCCTAATGTTCAGATGGAATCTCCTTTCTTGAAGGCATTGTTCTACATCCTAGTCTCCAAGGAAGCAGAAAATAAGTTCTCTCCCTCCTCCCTATGACTTCCTCTCACTTATACATGGTTATCATGCCTTCTCTCAGCCTTCTCTTCTTCAGGCTAAACATGCCCAGCTTTTTGAGCTGCTCCTCATAGGGCTTGTTCTCCAGACCCTTGATTATTTTAGTCGCCCTCCTCTGGACACATTCCAGCTTGTCAATATCTCTCTTCAATTGTGGTGCCCAGAATTGGACACAATATTCCAGGTGTGGTCTAACCAAGGCAGAATGTCGGGTAAGAACATTTTTCCTCTGGGTGGATCTTTACTCTCATAGCTTGGTCTTAGTCTTGCAGAAGGATTCCCCCAGGCAGGAAGCAGCCAGGCTTTTAAACTGCAAGGCCATTCAATGCTAATCAAGGTGGCTGGTTGCAATATTCACACTTGCCTCAAGCAGACAAGAATTCTTTCTCTCACCCTGAACATTCCACAAACACATAAAACTTACTTGCCTATTTCCAACAGACCTCACGACCTCTGAGGATGCCTGCCATAGATGTGGGCAAAATGTCAGGAGAGAATGCTTCTGGAACATGGCAAGACAGTCCGGAAAACTCACAGCACCCCAATGATTCCAGCCATGAAAACCTTTGACAACACATTGAACTACAGGTCTGATCAATAGCCAAATATTGGATAAATAGCCAAATATTGATCAATAGCCAAATATTTGTAGGGCAATGAATATAGAAACTGCCTGCTTGGAGAAGGCTAACCAAATGCATAGAATCAAATAGAAATCAGATTTTTGGTTATTTTTATTCATGGTTCTTTTGATGTCGGGTAAGAACATTTTTCCTCTGGGTGGATCTTTGTCTTTTCTCTCATAGCTTGGTCTTGGTTTTGCAGAAGGATTCCCCCAGGCAGGAAGCAGCCAGGCTTTTAAACTGCAAGGCCATGCAATGCTAATGGCACAGTGGGTTAAACCCCTGTGCTGGCAGGTCTGAAGACCGACAGGTCGAAGGTTTGAATCCGGGGAGAGGCGGATGAGCTCCCTCTATCAATTCTAGCTCCTTATGTGGGGACGTGAGAGAAGCCTCCCACAAGGATGATAAAAAAATCAAATTATCTGGGCATCCCCTGGGCAACATCCTTGCAGATGGCCAATTCTCTCACACCAGAAGTGACTTGCAGTTTCTCAAGTCACTCCTGACATGACAAAAAAAAAGCCATTCAATGCTAATCAAGGTGGCCAGTTGCAACATTCACACTTGCCTCAAGCAGACAGTTCTTTCTCCCACCCTGGACATTACACAAATATATAAACCCCACTTGCCTAGTTTCCCACAGACCTCACAACCTCTGAGGATGCCTGCCATAGACGTGGGCGAAACGTCAGGAGAGAATGCTTCTGGAACATGGCAAGACAGCTCGGAAAACTCACAGCAACCCAGTGATTCCGGACATGACAACACATTTCGACAACACCTAGAACGGTGTGACTTGGGGAAGGAGCCAAGTCAGCAGTTTCTCCTCTCTTCTCGAGGCGCCGCAGACCCATTTCCCGAAATGTAAGGCTTTTAGGGGCCAGTTTAGGGGGCAGGGAGGAGGGAGGCACTCTCCTTTGGCATCCACAATGGAGGGATTTTCGCTCCTCTCCAACCACACAACTCTGCCGGCTCTCCCCTCCTTTCTCTCCGAGGGGCGTCTGAAGGTGAACCCAACAGTATGGCTGAATGGGGATGCCGAGCCTCCAAGAGGCAGGCGAGAAAGAGGGGGGAAGGGGTCTGGGAAAGAAAGGGAGGGGTGAAGCGGGGAGGGGAGGGAGACACCTTTCGTCCTTCACATCCCTCCCTTCTCCTCTTTTTTTTAGCATGCTGCAATAGCGCTCTCTCTCCATCCCTCCTCCTTCTTCTCCTTCTCCTCCTCCTCTTCCACTGCAGAGACCCAGTCAGCTGATGCCGCCTCCCCAAAGAGGCCCCAAAGCGCTCAGTCCTTGCGTGACGGGCTGCAAGAAAGGGGAAAGGAAGGAAGGAGGGAAGGGGGGAAGGGGTGGGGGTGCAGTCCGGAGCTCCCCGGTTAAATCCGAACGGCAAGAAGGGAGGAGGAAGAGAGGGGGGGGGGTTGCAGGAGGCGGAGGTCACGTGAGGACGCGGCTCCCCGGGAACACGTTACAACCAAGGTCAAAGGGGGGAAGGAAGAGGAGGGAGGCCGCCCCAAAACCCACTCTGAGGAGGGAGGGAGGGAAGGGGGAGAAGACAACCCGCTCTCAGGCGCGCTTACTCAATCGTCAGGCCCGCTGGCTGCTCCCGGCGCTGGCTTCACTCAGGAAAGCTGGAGCTCTTGTGCATCTACACTGCAGAATTGAAACCGATTGACACCCCTCCACCTGGCCTCTTTGGCAGAGCAGGCTCAAGACCTTTGTCAAACTACAACTCCCGTGATGCCAGAGCCATGGTACTTAAAGTGGAATCAAATTCTACAGGACTGTCAAACTCATTTTCATGGGGGGGGGGGGCACATCAGCCTTCAAAGGTCCAGAGAATCCCTGGATGCAAAGGGTCAATTATAATTTATTTGAATACTAGCTTGGGCACCCTGTTGGCACAGTGGGTTAAACCCCTGTGCGGCAGGACTGAAGACCGACAGGTCGCAGGTTTGAATCTGGGGAGAGGTGCATGAGCTCCCTCTATCAGCTCCAGCTCCTCATACGGGGACAGAAGCCTCCCACAAGGATGATAAAAACATCCAATCATCCGGGCGTCCCCTGGGCAACGTCCTTGCAGATGGCAAATTCTCTCACAGGAGCGACTTGCAGTTTCTCAAGTCACTCCTGACACGACAAAAAAAAATGTGGGTCCGACCAGGGTATTGGGTGGCAACCTGTGCTTGACGGGGTCGCACTCCCCCTGAAGACACAGGTCCACAGCTTGGGGGTCCTCCTAGATTCAGCACTGACACTTGATGCTCAGGTGTCGGCGGTAGCTGGAAGGGCCTTTGCACAACTAAAATTCATGGGCCAGCTGCAACTATACCTCATGAAGTCTGACT